AGATTCACGCGTAATGAAAATCATAAAAATTTTATAAACTTATGATTTAAATAATATACAAGATGAAATACATTTGCTTCATTTCGAAGTCGTTTTGTTGAAGATCTGTTATTTTACAATTACAAAAAGGTTTTTCGGAAAGAAATGAAATGTTCTTATTTTTTTATGAAAAGAAAACACATTTTTTTATTAAGATATTTTCAATAATTACAATCAGTTCTTAGAGATCAATTGTTGTGAAAATTTGTATTCATAATATAGTGTAAAACTGGGTCGTGGGAAATGACTCATTCTAAAATGTGTCATATAAAGAATTTTTCAAATGACCTGACACTGTCAGAAATTTCAGAAGAATTCTTGTTTCTGTTCCATTGTCAATATTCAATATGGTCGAAATTAAACACGATATTGAAATTGAAATTTTCAAAGATACGATAAAAGCAAAAGTAGAGTGGTAAAAATTAACCGTAATAAAAAAAAACCTCTGCAACGACACAGTGTTCACGTGACCATTTAATGATCTACTCATAACCATTCATGATTTTTGGAAGTGCAGAAGTTTTGGTTTTGTTCTTGGGCAAGTCACTTCAATCAGTACCATGGCTTACACGCGACAGACCTCCTGTATGTTGTTCAGTGAGGTAGCATGTCTGTGCACCGCGCGAAAAAAACAGCAAGCTAGCAAACGAACTGATCTCCCATATAACATAACGTATTTTGAGTTTTATTTTGGGAACAAATGCGGCATCTATTTGTAAACACGAAGTTTACGACAAATGTGTATATATACTCAACTAGACATGTTATAAGATAACAGATAAGCCTTGTTAACGCCAATTGTAAATCATTTAGCCGGAGTGCGGAAACGCCATGTTTTACAAGCGCTTGAGTAACTGTTCCCCTCTGAGATATAAACAGTCATATAAATGTTTGACAACGTCTTGTTCACAGAACAGATTACAGATTTAAATTTCCAAGCCGCTTTTCTTTAATGATTTCTGTGCACAATTTTTGTTGATGAAATACTAGACAAGATTGTATGAATCATACTTGGTAAGGTTGGTCCTTGATGAACTCTTCTAGTTTAGTATCAAACAACAGAACAGTACTAAGATGTGCTAAGACATACTTAATGCAATCTCTTAGAAAAGAGGTTTAGTTAACACGGATGAAACAATGGTTTTATTCACCGTATCATAACGAGAAAATTTAATCTCGAAAAAGCTTCATTTTGGTGAATGAAATAAAATCACTTAAAAACAACAATTAGGATGGGAATTAATATAAGGCCTTAACTTGTTTTTCATTTCGTACGTATTGTATGTTTGTGATAAGATGTCGAATAATGAATATAAATATTGTGTAAGCTAAACTGACATTATATCATATAGCTTGATCTTCAGCTGTATCTCCTGGTTGTAACTGGTAAATACCTAACTGAACATCATACGGAAGATCCGTCGCATGTTATCTAGAGCATTCAAAGTAAAATCACTTGCTCATGGACACCAACACAACTCGAGCACTTCTAAACATTATTGTAAGTGCGCCAAATTCCACTGTTATCGAACGGAAATATGTATTTAATTTTTTTGTTTATAAATATGACAAAATTAAAGTACGAAACAGTTAAAAAGCTGATATTTTAAATACTATACTACACCAGATAAATATGTATAGAACACATGGTTTTAGTTTAAGGTCGGTGTAGAATGAAAGTTAACAGAAGACAGCTACAGATCAGACTATGTGCTTACATATTTATTGTACCGGAATCCTCATAAACCAATCTCTGCTCGGTTTATTTTCCGCGTTAGCGTTCCGGTTGATTACCTCCAGTCGTAAGATATAACTACCTGATATTTTAAAACTCGAAACGGAAACATATGGCGTGTATTTTCGATGAAAGCAGGCGTGTAGATACCTGCACTGTTGATTTCAGTGTACGTACACTGTAGGTAAAATTAAACAGCACGCTATCAGGCACCTGGTGTTATCAGTTGTCTCGGATATGAAATTGTTCGCATAAAACATATTAAAAATGAAAAAAAAAAAAATTACATTTTTGGTTTTCACAATAAGAATGCGCCAATACCCGTACAGCGGATGATTTTTTTAGAATATGATTCAGACTGTAGATTAAACAGAATTGAATCATTGATATACACAGGATATTCTGTAAGTATGTTTGCACGTGCATGCGAAAGAACTGTCTCGTACGATACAGAGAAATAATTCAAATAGAATGATCAGATTGGAGAAATGGCACGTGCATTTTTGTTTTTTTTTTCGAAAGTGTTTTTTTTTTATTCAGATAAGTTGAGTGGTTGCTAGGTACAAACTAATTAACAATTTATTGTTTTGGAATTTTACGAGCTGTCGGTACAGAAATAACAACAAGAGACGACGTGGTAAAGAGAAAATACGATACTTGTATTTACTATACCTCAGATATTAGTGTTAATCTTATACTGCGGTATTATCGTCACATTAAAAGTGTGGCTCGGAAGGGATGCGAGTTCGAGGTGCATTGTAGAGTGCAACAAAACTATCAGTTTATACATGTGGCTCGTAGGGGATGGGAAGGGACTCCATTGGAGAAAACGAATATTCTTTCACGTAATTTTCATATCTAACGTACACTACGCTTTATAGGAGGGCTGGAGAGAAAATGAAAACGGAAATAAATATCATTATTGCTATTAGATATCAAAACATTCCTGATATTTACCGCAGAAAATGAAACATTTTTCTTAAATTTAAAATATACTTTATGGAGGGGGAGGGGCGAGAGAGGTAAAGAGAAAGCAATCACCTTATGGCTATCGAAACATTATTTTTGTATAGTTATCTACCGTACATAAAACATTTTACCTTGCACTTTTCTGTACATTGCACGTTGTGTGTATGTGAGAGGACGGTTTTAAAACTTTCCTTTCTAAAAGTCTATCTTAACGGAATAAATGTTTTAATTAAATGAATGGAGTGGATGGAGGGCAGACATCACGAACAATTTTGGTTCTCAAAACATTCTTGGTATATACCGTACAGAATGAAAAAAAAATATATATATATATTAGCTGTTTGTATCTTTCGAATTTAACTCTGTCCATCCTCTATGGCTTATTTTGTCATTGAAATAATATCTTTCCTTATCATTGCTATGTGTAATATTGAATGCATAAACGTTTACTACAGTACGTATCTTTTATCAATAAAATGGTTACCTAGCAACCGAGGAGAAACATTTTACGATGTTATAACTTGAGTTCAATTCGTTTGTTCATTTGAAGTAATAAGATGTGTTTAAACAACAAAATACTACCGTACATATAAACTTTTAGCTTTTATAATTTTAGGATGACTTTCTAAGTATCAATGATATCAATCATAAATGGTTTGTTCCTGGAAGCAACTTTCTAGGATTAACTAAGATTTGCATGTAGTGTGTCATCTATGGAGAAGAGGACGTTTAATCACCCAAAATATTTTATCCTTTGTTAAAAATTTGCCATTTTTTCACTGATTGGATTTGATAAGTTGGTATATAGTTATCTTATTTAACAATTTTAATAAGACAGAACGTGATTTGAAATGTAAATCGTCGTCAAATGAAATCGAACTGTCTGAATTCCTTGTTGGTCGTTATAACAGATTCTTTCTAAAGCTGTTTAAGCATTTTCTTGTAACTTCCATACTATGGCATTTATAGTCGATATAAATGACAAAGCTTTAAACACAAATGCCATATTCCGAACTAGCAAATACCACGTGTATTCTTCTGAAGCTATCGGTATATCTATATGAAGGCGAAGACCTGTTTTATTATTTTTATTTTTGAAAAGAAATTGGTCAAAAAGTCAAACAAAACTTACAACACGTGTTTAATATAGATTTTTAATTTACATCTCAAAAATAGAATCACCAGACGTCTGTAGTCCTTGCCAGCTCCGTAAATATATCGGTGAACTGTTTAGGCTGTCTACAATTTGTATTAAAACGGTAAGTAGGTATCTTCGTGTAACATCCGTCTTGTGATCGTTCAATGATGAGGTGTAATTTACTTATCTGATTCTCTATAGTTATATATTCTTCTGATTAACTTAAGTTTTCACCATGTAAATACTTCACATGAACAGTTTTTTTCTTAATTTGTTTATTTGTTTAACGGTTAAAAACTTAAGAAAGAAAGAAGAAAGAAAGAAAGAAAGGAGAAAGAACGTAAATAAGAAAGAAAGTAAAGAAGAAAGAAAGAAAAAAAAGAAGAGAACAAAAGAAAAGAACAAAAGAAAAAAAGAAAGAAAAAGAAAGAAAGAAGGTAAATAAGAAAGAGAGAAAGAAAAGAAAGAAAAAAGAAGGAATGAAAGTAAAGAAGAAAGAAAGAAAGGAAAGAAAGAAAAAAAGAAAAAGAAAGAAAGAAGATTCGATATCTTTATCATCACGCTAAGTCAATCATGCGCTGAATCATCAGATTTTTTAAATCAAAGTAAGTGGTTTTAGGAAAAACAATATAATGAATTGAAATCTTGAACGTCAACAACCTTCATGTGTGGTCTTTTGGCTAACACCAGAATTCGAACATCGACAACAGATCTGTTTTAATAATAAAACCTACTTATTATACTCGTGAATTTAATTATGAAATAAATATGTTTTGGCACAAACTCGGTAAACAACTGATAGGTTAAGACTTAAAACTCAAACATTTAAGAAATTGTCTCAGTCTGGTTGAGGTTTGCGGTGAAGGTACACGTAGCATCAATCAGTTACATCGAATTCTGTTTGATAGCCGTCGTTTGCCTTCCATCACGTATTGTCGAAACAGAAACGTTCTTCACTGTCTCAGTCTTTGAAGATAAACTGAAAGCTCATTGGACTTAACTACTAACAATTGCTTTGCAATATTGGAGGCACGTTATTTTCGTATCATTTTCAAGTAAACAGTATTCCTCTGAAAGTAACTTCAACCTTTTTTACACCGAAACAGTCTAAGCTCGGAGCAAAAAGAAATCTTTGGTGCAAGAAATATATATTCCTAACATGTTTGGATCAAATTGTTTTTCATTGGTTGCGTTGCTGTATGTATTACTTCCCGTGAAGGGCGATAACTCTACCGATCCTTGTGTCATTGATGACGTCATAATGCGAAATTTACTGTCGATGAACTTAACAATCACTGATCAAAAAGCGGAAATATGTTCATTGAAATCTCGTCTCGAGCGGATTGAACGTATTCATGACATGGCATCATCACCGGAAGTGCATGATATCGCCATCGATAACAGTTTGGTGTTGAAAGTTTTAAATCAGATAATTTACAGCCGTTTGATGAGTGTTGCGGACAGTTTCAACAACACTATCATCACAAATAAGACGTGTAAAGATGACTGGGTGCATTTTCAGGGACAGTGCTATTATCTCAGTGACCGGAAAATGTCATGGGATAGCGCACACGATTCGTGCTTAAGCATGAATGCACGTTTAGCAATCATGGACGACGAAGATATAAACATTTTCGTCCGAAATATTACTCCGAGGTTCCGGCGTTACTGGATTGGCGGAAGGACGGAAGGTAAGACCTGGCAATGGGTCGCAACCGGAAGTGACTTTAAATACACAGCCTGGTGTCCAGAACAGCCGGATGGAAAAGGAGTGCGATGTTTATCATTCTTTCATCTGGTACCACAAATATGTTACTGGACTGACCGCAAGTGTAAATTCCGCGAGGAGTACATTTGTCAGCGTCCACTTTAAAACATGTAGTGGAACATGAACCGGAAATGGATAGGGTGTAGATGGACATGAACGAACATAAACATATTTTGTTTGGAAAAGTGAAACTCTGCATCAAACATATCTCACTTCTACACGTTTCTGGGTCTAAAACTTGTACAGATGACGTTATATTGAGTTTACGGATACTCAAAAAAAAAAAAAACACGTCATAGACAATGATTTAATGTAACCATGGAAATCAGAGGAAACGTATCGAAATGGAATCGAACATGGGTAAATGTCGATCATATATTTAATTCAAATATTAACGTTTCATTACACTAATTGTATTGATATTCTTAAACATTTTTATTTCTAAGAAGTTTTATTCATTTTGGTTTAGAAGATATAAATCTGAGATTATACAGAGAGTTCTGAAGTCAACAGACAGGATCGAGGAGAGTGACTTATTTAGTATTATATATGTTTGTTAAAGATGTAATGTCAGCAAATTATTTATGAATTGAATTTGAATCTAAATTAAATTGATGATGAAGTCCTATTTAAAATCATAATCCGCCATCATATATTATTTGTTTATTTTGATTTGGATTTATTTCTGTTATTTAATTAAAAAAAACTTTATTAAGTTTCCAAGGAAACAAAAGACGAAATATTTTTCGAAAGCAACAAGATAGAAATAGCGAAACGCAAAACAGAACGGAAAGAAAGAACAAAATTATACTACATTGCATTTGGTTAATTCATGGCTACATGTCATCATTCAGATATTTTAACGTATTACATTATATTTAAAAAAAATAATGAAAATATAGAAAAAATGACGTCTTCTATGAATTAACTGTCAATATGTAGCATATGGGATATGTTAATATATTTTCCGTTTCCGAAGGAAAGAAATTTGCTCTTTCAACTTTCAATCATTGTAACATATATTGTGTTTTTTTTTTACTTAGAGTTACTGTACTGTCTTATGAGCATGAAAGTAATTTATAAGTTTGCCAGTAAGGCCTTGAATAAAAATTAAACATTGCTTGTGAAACCTGTTGTGTTGATGAATATACTATAAAATATCTAAAATAAAACATAGATGATTCCTTATCCAATGCAAACTGAAATCTGATCAGGTGTTGACCACGATGTTATAGTAATTTGGGGTAAATTTGTACCAAATATTTTCAGAGGTTCTTACGAAAAAACATTGATTCAGAATGGGAGGAGAAGGGACGGACTGACTCAGGTACAACTACATATACATAAAATGATTCTATTTAACGGACAGGACCGTAGTGTTAAATATTTGCATGTCAAACAGAGAAAAGTACAGTCATATCTACAATACAACGTGACGAAGAAGTCAAAAAGACGATTATCTTCAGTGCTTGTCGATCGATGTAAATGACAGACCATCAACCGGAAGTACAACGCAGATGAGAGGCCTTGGCTTGGTTTTGATTTTTCCAGCAGTACATAATTATGTGTATCTGCAGTCCTCCCTGGTGTTACTAAGCTAACACAGTTCACCCTGAAATATTTCTTTCATTTAAATTTTTTTAACCAAAATATGTATTTTTATGGCTTCATGAAGCGGACGTTGTTCTCTCTGTATTTTTAAATGTGTCGTTTTTGCGATTTCAGTCTATGAGAGAAAAGAAAAATGAATCCCCTTTAGGGAAGAATCTTTTTAATAGTTTCTCATCTTCAAATGAAAACTAGTTAGGGGGTATTTGGATGACTTGTGTAAGCTTAGCGCCATCAATTACAACCGTAGATATACTGTATGTATTTTGGTTTTCAGCTTATTTGTTTGACTGAACAGGTATGAAATATTGAAGAGGAAGCACGCTATCACCCAACTGGTAGAGAATCAAAATACTTAGCATTAAACATGTATGTGTCCCTGGTTTGCGGACCCTACCGATATCGGGTTGGATTCCTTTTCATGGTTTTGACAAAAAGGAACGGAATTCTTCATATTTGAAACATAACTTACATGCACTAAAATGTATAAAAATGTAAACGCTTACCTTCAATGTTCAAGAGACAGCACAGAAACAGGTCATGAAAAGAAAAAAAAAGAGTTGTTAGTATTACATATGTGTTTAACAGAAAAGAAATATTGTGTCTCCACTGGGGATCGAACCCGCGACCCCGGGTAAATCTCGACATATAATGAAATATGGAAGAAAAAAAGGAAATAATCAGAAAGTCCTGATATATACGAAATCGTCACTTTAAATCGAGCCATTCATAAAGAAGAGGAAAACGAAGAATATCGGAAGACAAATAGTACAGATGACAGCAAACGGATAAAGACTAGGTACAGGTTTAAATCGATATGTTTGTTGATTCAGGGTATGACCTATTTGCACCGGAAGTGGATACCTTTAACGTTACGTTCTGAACTTTAAGATGTTTGAAGATTTACATATACCGGTGACGGACGGGACGATGATTTAGAAATACGTACATGTATCTCTGTTGAACTGTTATACCAACACCAGCTGATATATCTACCTAGGAAATGACATATTTCAGTCAGCCTCGCTTTGACAGCATATGCTCTTACCCTGAACAGGTAAAACCACGCTTGTTTCTGTGTGAGATTAATCGAATCTTTCAGCCCCTTTTGGGTGATTTAGGGGGATCACAACCAGGGCGGGGGAGGAGATTATTAAGTAGTCAAACCTGAGTCGTGCTGAGTGTTTGACAGCTTAAAATCGTCACCCGGAAGTTGAGCTCCCTCTTCCTCACCATAAAGGGGGTGAACAATGATGTTTCTCTCACCCTGTTCTCATTGTCCTTAACATACACGTAATGCCGTTCACGTGTACAATAAAAAAGGGAAATAAAATGATACTCTTGATGTTTTATACATATTTTTGATAATACGATGTGGATTTAGATGATTTTTAATCTTGATGAAAAAAACAGATTTCCAGTTTGAGGATGACAAAAGATCTCAGTAGCAGACGAACCACAGTGTATGTGTGTGACCTCATAAAAGGAGTTTTACTTCCGGGTCACGTCCGTTACGTTACTTCAATTGTTCAGAACGTACAAAGAGCAAGTTTATCTTGTTTCAACCATAGGATGAGACAAGGAAATCTCACAACGGAAAAAGTGTGGATCTACCTGTTCAGGGTAAAAAAAATCCTTGTCTCTCCCTTGGGGTTGAGACTGGAGATTTTCCAGTGACAAGACAATGATATGACTTCACAGTAACGTAACGTCAACATGTAAATCACGTCAAAGATTCAACGCAATGTTACGACAAAAACACACACGATTAAAAAGTCAGCAAGGTAGGAAAAACAAGCAAACCATAATATCAAAGTTGAATATTTTCCCTTTTTTCTCTCAAGTAACCCCAATATCCAGACTGTACACCCATATTAATCTGACGTATAGACCAGATGGGTTCCGAAAGGTAGAAACGAGCGTGTAATACTATTTAACATGGTGTAGGTGATGGGATGTGTAAGTTTACAGACTTACTAAAGAACATTTAAGTCCAGATTTCATGACAAAACTCTTTAACATATACAGCCTAGTTTATAGTAAATGTATTCATAACGGGGATTTTATCGATCATGACGGACGTTCTACTAAATCCCTCATGAGACCCCACAGACAACCAGTTTCCACTAACAACCGGTCAATACATATTCTCACTTATTAGGAAGATAAATAGAGTTTTATTCCGTAATAAGATTAGTCAGTGTTGGAGCTGCATGGGATTTATTCACCTTGTTATATCTAAAGAAAAGCTTTACACAAGCTCTTTATCATTTCTCTGGCAATTTTTCTTGTCTGTCAAAACCTTGTCAGCTTAAATCGAAATCTAGTCATAAAAGTCTTTATTTCAACAATCAAGTTATCTGAATTTGATACAGAACATCATCAAACAGTTTTTTTTCACAAGCTTATAAATAAGTTCATAACTTGAGATTTATCTTTCGTCATTGGTAGTCCGTCAAGTTTGACCGTGACGTTCGGAGCGAGGTAGCAGAGTTTGTGATTACGGAAAATATTTACAAGGATTGTGATGAAGTCCATAGTCGTTAGACCCTGAGGAATATTTGTTGATTATATAGGAATTACTGATACATACTATTTACATGCATATATGATCAAATTTAGACCACTAAATGCAGTGTAGGTTAGGAGTCATTTTCAGTATATTCAGTTTGTCGGCCAATTTCTCTGAATCTTGTAGATGAAAAGTTGGGAAAATATTATGTTGTGCATCATGGTCTGCATCTGTGCGAAGATTGTAGAAACTGATGTAAGATCATCAGTCGTATAAGGTACATTGTGGTTGCTGAAATTTGGCAAAGACATTGAAAGGCAACTGGTATATCATCTGTTGTTATTGTTGTCGTTGTTGATGCCATCGCTATTGTTGTTGTTGTTTTTTATTTTCTTTATTGTTGTTGTTGTTCGTATTGTGGTGGTGATGGTGGTGGTGGAGGTTGTTGTGTTAATTAAGGGTCGTTGATGGAATTAATTATAAAGTGAAGTTCCATGTTTGTTTTTACGATACTATCCAGTCCTGACGCTCTGATCTTTGATTTCAAACCTGATTTAAGCAAGTCAAACAAATTATGCAAAATTCTCAGGAAAGCAAAAAAGAATGATTTCATATTCATTGCCTTCTGTCATTATTGACAACACAAGTGATTTCTTGTTCAGTGAAAGGAGGCCGATTTGACATTTGATTTTTTAAAAAACATTTGCATGGTGTGGTTTATGTGATGTGAGGATTAATGAATATCGTACGAACAGAAATGACGATAAGTAGACAAAAAAACCCTCAAATTTATAAATAAGGGGATATGTTATCTGTCACAAAACCAACGAGATTTAATTTGAAATGTGACAAATAAGCCTTTCTGTCATCTATTAATACTTCCAGGCAGACACTTGAACTGAAACCTCTGAATATAGTTAAACATCAAGAGTTTCAAAGACACCGGAAACAACCCAGAATTCCTGTTTTTCATCAACTGGTGACG